TCAACTTAAGAACCCCAGGCATCCCCAAGTCAGCTGCTGCTGAAACTGATCAGCGCTGATTCCAGGAAGCCCCGGGGCAGAGCAACTCTGCCTCAGGCTTCCTGAAGTCAGCTGCTGGTCAGTTTCAGCAGCAGCTGAATCTGGATGCCAGTTCCGACTTACATACAGATTCAACTTAAGAACAAACCTACAGTCCCTATCTTGTACGTAACCCGGGGACTGCCTGTATTAATGGAACTTAAATATTTTACAATAATTTAAGTTCTCCTCTTGCCAGCATTTTATTCAAGAAAAGGTTACTCACCCTGTGGAGTAACTGACATTGAGATGTGTGTTCCTATGAGTGCTCCACATTAGATGTGGCATCTCCCCATGCTCAGGATTAGAGATCTTCATCAGCAGTGCCTATCAGACTCCACATTCACATCACTGGAGGAGTCCGACCCACCTCCATTTCTTTTCCTCCCACTCAGGGAAAGTATTTCACTCTTCCCCTTCTCTCCCAGTCCCTGCATGCCTCCCTTAAACAGCTCCAGCCCCTTCACAGCTGTCTGGTGCGAGGAGGCAGGGGTAGCAAGCACAGAAACGCTGGAGCTCCTGTTTACTCAGGAGCTCCAGCAGGAGGCGCTTTTCCCCTCTGGCCAGGTCTCCTGCACCCCTCTCCCACATTCAGGAGAGGAATCAGGCTGCAGAGGAGGCTGGGGGAAGCTTTTAAAGCAGCCCCTGGGACTTCCTGCAGCGTTTCACAGCCACTAGATCCCCCTCCAAGAGCTGGATTAAATTGTTTGGTGGGCCAGAAGCAGCCTGCAGGCCAGGGGTTCCCTACTTCTGACATAAGGGTTGCAATTTTGCTTACTCATTGGTTTGAAGTGATGGCAACAAGGAAAGCTGTTTTCTTTCATAGATGCACATAAAAACAGGTTGCCATTGGTTCAAAATAGAGGTTTAATCAGAGGATGTAAGAGGAGGACAAAGTCCTCCATGACTCCAAGGAGTCATCAAGTTTCAAAGATTTTGGAGATCCTTCAGAAAGAATGTTATGAATAGATATGAGACACAGATTGACTATGAGGCAGTAAAAAAAAATAGTGATTGCTACAAAGTGTACGGATATGCAAGTGCTGGATAACTCTTGTTTATCGACTAGCGTGTAGTCCAAGGTAAGTGCTAGTGGGACGTGTGCTGCTTTGGCTGAGTGGAAAGAGTAACAGTACTGAAATTAGTTCATTTGCGAATGTAAGCTTATCTAGTCATGTGAAGGCCTGCTATTTGAAAGGTTTGGTCTGTGCCCAAAACATGCTGGAAGCCAGGCTTTCAGATTGAGCATCTAGGCATTGGAATAGAGGAGGTGTCCAGCAAAAGGAGCTGTGACATTGGGTAGAGAGAGATCAGTTGGCATACCATCATGTGGAGGAGGTACATATAGCAGACATGCCATGGCCATGACGGAGCTATGACATGAACTCAGTCCTCCTGTATTTTGCACATTTCTCAGAATAGGAGGGACAGGCACAAAAGACAGATGTGTCTCATATTACGAGGAATGCATCTCCTATATACTCATGTCCCAGAGGGCAGTGGATGTTGTGCTGTGTGGCAAAGGGAGTCTATAATAGGGGTAATCCCATCAGTTAAAGATGGACTGATCCAGTTACCACTTGTAATCATGGAAGACGTTGCTGCTTAGTGTATCCATGAAGGTGTCTTGGTGTTCAGGGAAGTACACTGCTGAATTGATGCCATTGTGTTGGAAACACCAGTTCTCCAGTTTAACTGCATCTGCTCACAAAGAGTGGGACTTTGCTCCACCTTGCCTATACCAGGATTTGAAAAACTTGGTAAGTGGATATGTGCCTCATGACCACATCATGTGTGATGGATCAGAAAGTGGTGTCTGCAAAGTCTCATGAAGCTTCATGATTGTGAGAGCTAGAAGGTATCACCTTCCAATATTATATACTGGAATTACTCTTTCTTGACCTCTGGAAGGTCATGGCACAGTTCCTCCAACTTAAAATATTTTATGTAACTGTACTTAGCCATATCAGCTATGTAGTTGGAGATTTTAAATTGGAGGAGGGCTGATAAATATGCTTTGTGTCCAAATAAGTCCAATAAATTTCCAATCCCTATCTGGATAATTAACATTGTCTTGGTAGTGAACACCGCCTCCTTGCACTGCATTGGCCACGAAAGAATCCAGGTTAGGACATGAAAATACAAATTCTGCACCCTTTATCAGAACATTTTTTGCTTTTGGCATGTTTACAGGTCAGAGAGATGGATTCAGGCGACTGCGAGATCAGCTCTACACAGTTGATAGCATTGATTCTTAGTGAGATTCTGGAAGAAGAGGACATAAGCAATTTATACAGCTGGTCCTTGACCTCCTCCAAAGGAATTTACAGGGACTCTGCAATCCTGCAAAATGAATCCTGAAAATGCCTGAAGTCACTGACAGATGGCGATATGGATCTTAATGATAACCTGCTAATGGTGAGACTGCTGGTTACAGTTAACCAGTGGAGACTGGAGCAGCCCCTCTGGCCTGTGCAGGCAGGGGCTGCTCCAGCCCTAAGGGGCCCACCACAAGCGGGGTGTGCTCCAGCCTGGCTAGAGCAGGTGCTAACTATGGTGGCACACAGCAAGTGCTCCAACCGAGCTGGAGACACCTATGACCATGGCAGAGCTGGGAGGAGGGATCCTGCTCCAGGCTGGCTGCCCCATTTAATCAGTTACACAGTTAAACTTAACATTCAACCAATTAACTAATGAAATGGGAATTTACATCCCTAGTAGGAGATGGAGGCATGACACCCTCATCAGGGGAGGAGGAGAAGGGAAAAAATGGTGACCCCTCCTCCTATTATTCCTCCTCTTCAAATAAGTACCAAAAGTTTCTTATGCCATAGGTCAAGAAACTGATGGAGGAGAAAGAGCTATGGGTCTCAGTCTTTGCTCCCTCGGAGGGTTTCCCAAACTATTCCCAGTACTTGGCACGAGGCCAGTGTACAGCAAATGAAACATGTCTCTATCCAATGTAGTCCATGCCAAGATAGTGGACCATACCGGGATAGCAGATAATTAAGGTGAACAGATATGATTTGCCTGGTATATGAGGGAGTGAAAGAACACTCCTCTCCCTCCTCATTGCTGGGATACAGGGGTACTATCCTCTGTGGAGAAAGGGAGGAGCGCTGAGTTTGGGGAGAAGGGATTGGAGGGCAGGGAGGAGAAGGTGACATTGAAAGTAGAGACTTAGGAGTATCAGATACCAGGCAAGTCTTCAGGGTATCTAAAGTTTTGTGGAAGAGAAAAAAGCATGTTCAGACAAGTATATGGTTTGATATCAAACGAAGGATGTATTCCTGTGAAGTGTCTATAGATGATGCAAGAGATTTGTCTGGTGTCAATGATTTTCATGTTACTGACAATTTTAATGATGCCATGGGCTTGCTTGGGACTAACAACAGTTTAATTGCTGCTGATAAGTGTGCTGGTACACGCATTTTTTGGGACCAAAGTTCATGAAAACTCATGCCCCAAAACTGGAAAATGGTGCAGAGGATTGGAGATCTACTTGTCTAGGATCCTCAAGACCATTTCTTTGTGTTTTATCCCAGACCAAAGCAAGTAGAAAAGGAACTGTGGGCTGTCAGACAATGCTATTATTTATACACATTTCCAGTGCAAGGGGAAGAGGCGGTGAGGTATACATGTGTATCCCCTTTTAGATGATGCTGAGGCAACAGACATCAGACACAGCGAGTGCTGTCTCACCTTCATATGGAGCACCCATCGGGACATCCCTTGAAGAACAACATAGCTTTATTTCACAAAAGAGTGATGGCAATTCTTAAGGATTAACATTCATAACTTCCAAATAAACTAACATGAAAATATATCAGTATTAATAACTGGTGTTCACACTAAACATTAATTGTAAGAACTTAAGTATCAGGAATAATACTCGTAAGATTCTTATTCTAGCCAATGAAATAGATCTTGAAAGTGCAATTTTAGTAATGCTACCGTTGATAAGTTTTTCCATGGCAGAAAGAGTGCTTTGAGCACTGATTTTATTTCTATTTTGAGCTTTGACTGCATCCTCTAAATCCCACAGACTTCAACTGACAAAAACAAAGTGACACGCAAAAGCAGGAAGGTCAGCACCTACTAAACAAAAGCTAAAAGCATCTATTAAATGAACCAAAAATATTTTCAGAGGCCATGTTAGTAAGATTTTGAAGCGCAGATGGAAATTTTATTCGTTCTATGTTGTTAAGTCTTAAGCTAGACTGAAGAACTGCATCATTTTTACATTAAACAGAGATAAGGCAAGTGGATATAACTGGGCATTAAAATATTTCAAACAAAACATCAGGAAGAACTCTCAGGCTAATAAATAATCTATAGAGTGGGCAGTCAGATAAGTTTGTCAGAAGCACAATTATAATCAATGAAAAAGATCACACTTTAAAAGGCAGTAAAAAGGTTGGCGGGACCAAAAAGCTTCTTTTACTCCTACAGATTAGCTGAATATCTGATCCACAAGTTTAGTGTAAACAGCATATCTCCAGGGACTTTAACAATACAGGGTCAGAACTTCATCTGGTATAATTTTGTTGATGAACACTACTAAATAACAGAGGGGTAGCCGTGTTAGTCTGAATCTGCAAAAGCGACGAGGAGTCCTGTGGCACCTTATAGACTAACTGAAGTGTAGGAGCATAAGCTTTCGTGGGCAAAGACCCACTTCATCAGATGTCCTACACTTCAGTTAGTCTATAAGGTGCCACAGGACTCCTCGTCGCTACTACTAAATAAATGTCCCAAAGATTTAATTAACCACAAAAGCACTACCATAAGAACAGGTAATATGCTAAAATATAGCATGAACCTTTTGTTTGTTGTAATTAAATTATTCATAATCCTTACAAACTTGGTAATGTACATAAACACAGAATCAAGATAATTATTAGTGACTTGATTTTTCTGTATATTTCCATGATTATTTACCACCAGATCTTTGATCTTAAATCATACAAGATTAAGACTAACAACATGGAACAAAAATTGTCTATTTGAGCAACTGTCCAGAGTGGGAAAACCTGAAAAGTTTTTAACTACTTACGTTTTGAAATTCAAGTGATAGTGTTCTAATATAGTAATCTGTCCTTGCTTGTTCAGCTTCCTAAAGAGAAGGAAACATTTGTGAGTGGATAGGAATTTAATATACCACAAATTAGATATAAATCTCAAAATTGATTCTCTACAGTAGCACATGAACAAAATCATTCACTTTTTGGCAATTTAAGACTCACCTGAAGTGTCAGTGTAAAAGCCATCTATCTGCCATGTAGGATGTTTAACCATTTTTAAATGAAAGAAGATTTGGGGTTAAACAAATCAGTTAAGATCTTACCCAAAGGCTACCCTATTTAGAAATGAAATTTCCCCATAAAATTAAGCTGTCACCAAATTCTGTCACATCTCTCTACCATATTTCCAAGTTATGTCCCTGTAGCTCGAGTCTAAGGTTTCTCAAGCCTCCCTGTCTTCTAACTTACCTCCTTCAATTCATCCCTCCTTGTTGTGCACTCAGATCATGTTTCTCCCCTACCTGAATTGCTCCATCACGTATTCAAATTTAAGGGTTTTTTCCCTTCCACCATTGGACACAGTTCAGTCCCTGCTTGTATTGTTGCATCTCTCCTTACCCTCTTCACTCCCTATGCGATGGCATCCTCACCTCACATTTTATTTTCTGACTCTTCTTGATGCCTTATAGTGCAACCAACCTCATGCCACAACTGACACCTCCATCCCAATATGCACTTCCACTACATATTAAAATGTACTTCAAGTGAATTTGCATGTGAAGGGCACTTAAAATGCTACTATATCAACACTATTTTTAAGTATACAAAAGAAGTGTTACCATTTTCTGGTCTCCCAGCGCAGTCGTGTCTATCACTGAATTTTAAATGACAAGTTCAGGCCAGGAACTATTTGCATCTTGTGCAGTATCAAACACTGCTGGCGCTCAACCAAATATTTAATAAGTACACATTTTACATATAGAATATCAAAGTGAGACATTCAAGTCCTATGCATAGTCAGGCAAGACAGTCCCTTTTGTTACTAGAGATACGTAGTTAAAAACTGAAAATTAGTAGCCACAGTGAAACCACCTAGGGCCTGTTCTGTCCACGAGAAAGATGCATTTTAAAACATGTTCCATGGTTTTAAAATCCTAGGAAGACAGTTCAAGCCGTAAGTTTCACCTTAATTAATGAACATGTTAAATACAACTTGCCCTATCTGTATTAGGGGCCAACACATTTTTAAAAAATACACCTTTTTTCCTAGTGGGGGAAATCTCCTTGTCCTCATTGCTTGAGGAAATGGCTGTATGCAATACTGTATTCTAGAGTTTAAAATAGATATTGCATTGCAACTATCACCTGTGCAGTATCTCACCTCCAATGAGCAGAGCGAGAACACAACTAGGGCAGAGAAAGGAAAATTTCCATGTATATTTAGACCCTAGCCTCTTTACTGACACTGTCAAAGTTATCAGTTGTATTCACATTACAGTTGGCAGTAGGTCCCGTAGGATCTGATCTGAAATCAGTTCAGTTCGCATAGGCAAGACAACTATGAGGACACTAAAATCTGGACACTAACTTGGAAATGGTGATCAAGTCATACTTAAGCTGCTGAGTAGGACTGGAGCAACTTGACAACGAGGTACACTGCATCTACCTAATCACCCAAAAGCAGGTCAGACAGGTTATTAGAACCCTGGAGCGACTGCGCAAATCCAAATTTTTCCCAACACCATGGAACACTGAGCCTGTTTGACAGCTTCGCTGGCTTCTATTCCCACTTCTATGGCTATTCATTGTTTGCATCATGCGACCGGTTAAAAAATTGGGCTTTTAAAAAAAAGTAACATGTATTGAAACTTGGAGTTGAGGCACACACATGTAAAGACATAATTATTTCATATTATGGTAGCATGCAAAGGCCCTTAAAGCATAATTGGAGCCACATAGGCTAAGCAAACAGTCAAAAATAGGTGTGGATTTCTGCCACCAGAATTCAGAGAAGGGATAAATGAGTAATAATATACATCTTCCCTAGTGTACTAGCATGATCTTCAGCCATGCTCTTCAGGCACACCCTATGTAGAATTTAGTTCCTTTCTCAAGGAAAGTCTCACATTAATACTTTATCTAGAAGTACTGTACTTCATTTCCAGTAAAAATGAAAACATTAAAGTTATACAAAATAAAATATTTCAGTTTTAGAGAGCCAAAAAAGTTTAAGAAGTAATTTGAGAAATAACGATGAGACCATAATATTTACTTGCTGCTTCCCATACAACGCTTTTGGGTATTATCAATGGGAAGTTTTAGAATTAAACATTTAAAATTTACATGTGATTACAAAATAGCATTCAGAGCCTATGCTACTGAGTACATCTGATATAGGAAGAGCTCTCCAAGATGTAAAGTCCATTAAACAAATTAGTTCACAAAACTTTATACTTACACAAGAAATATGAAATGGTCCAAAAGTTACAGTTTCTTCTCCATATAGAGGCCAGTACCGCTCACATTTTTTCTATAAGAAAAAGTATAGCCCTAATTTAATCCAAAGTTGGAACTTTAAGAAAAATCACTGTCCGTAAAAGTAGCAACTTTTGCAATTTTTTGTTTCGTTTCATATTTGGTGTTTTTCTTAAAACTTTTGTTCTAGAGTCCTGTGATGGAGAAAGAATTTCAGCTTTCATTTAACACAAAACAAAAAGATTTCAATCTTCATGGTTGCAGAGAAAAATCTTGAAAATAAACTTTAATGGTTTGAAAAACAGAAGACCACAAATATTAGCAAGAAATTATTTATAAAACCGAGATTTAAAAAAAAAAATGTCAAGGCTCTTCTTTTGGAGCATGATTCAATTTTTTTTGTGAATGCACAGGCTTAGCAATAGTGGAAATAACATTGGCACTGCAAATACTAAATCTAGAGAATACGACAGAAATATCAGCTCCTTCCCATCTGACAAGGATTTCTAAAGGACTTAAAATCAAGATCACTTATTTATGGTGAATCAGCCTTTTTAGGTCTAAATTTGCAATAGAAGCTCTATAATCTCTATTGTGAGACGATTAGCAGTACTGCTACCAATATTTATTTAAATTCCTAGGGATTATTTTGTAATTAGAAATTTATCTTTATTTTCATTTTATTAAAACTGAGTAAACTGTGACTAACACGGTGCTACAGTTATCAAAAAAAAGCAGCACCTTTGTAGAATGAAAAGTCACCAGATTCACTGATTTTCTATGCATATTGATGCAACTTGGCTGTTGGAAGTAATTTGTGATCTCTCTCCAAAAAGAATGACAATAGTAAAGGCTTTTTTACTCAGTGCAATTGAGCTGTATTTGTATTTACTGATTTTACACAAAAAGCTTCAGTAATTAAACTTCTGTCCTAACAAGTGGGGCTGCAGTATTTATTCATCCTTCTGTTTTAGCACTTACCCGTCCCATCTCAAACTCTCGACAAGCCATTACAATTATCTGAAAAAGGAAGAAATATATAACTTTGCTATGTGATAAAGTGCTCAGACTGCCTATTACTGAAATGTTTAAACCTCTATTATTTAAATAGAGGTTATGCATATTAAAAATTACATATTCAGAAGTATGTACTTTTAATGCTAAAATGTCCTGTGTCCATCAATTATTTGTATTCATTGCCATCCTAACATTATTAAATTATTATTATTAAATTAACAGTGAGAGAAAAGTCAGTCTATAAGTTATACACTTAAGTTCTTATATTGTGTATAAATGGCCAGGTCAATAACAACTTTTCCATCTATGTATGCAGCTTAGATGCTTTGCATGCAGACACAACTATAGTTGGCTTAATTAAATTGCCTGGAAGGAGCCAAGACAAATTTTGCACTCCTCATGCATAATTAAAGAAATAACATTCAATGTTTTAAAATGTGACTTACTGCCATTTTTCAGAGTTGTGAATACAGGCAGTCCCCAACTTACGCGGATCCGACTTATGTCGGATCCGCACTTACGAACGGGGCTTTCTCGCCCTGGAGCTCGCAGGTAGCAATCCGCTACCTCGACCTCCGGGGCGAGAAAGCCCCGTTCGTAAGCTGCTCCGGTGCCCCTGGTCTGCTGGAGACGGTCTCCAGCAGACCAGGGGCACCGGAGCAGCTTACGAACGGAGCTTTCTCGCCCTGGAGCTCGCAGGTAGCAATCCGCTACCTCGACCTCCGGGGCGAGAAAGCCCCGTTCGTAAGCTGCTCCGGTGCCCCTGGTCTGCTGGAGACGGTCTCCAGCAGACCAGGGGCACCGGAGCAGCTTACGAACGGAGCTTTCTCGCCCTGGAGCTCGCAGGTAGCAATCCGCTACCTCGACCTCCGGGGCGAGAAAGCCCCGTTCGTAAGCTGCTCCGGTGCCCCTGGTCTGCTGGAGACGGTCTCCAGCAGACCAGGGGCACCGGAGCAGCTTACGAACGGAGCTTTCTCGCCCTGGAGCTCGCAGGTAGCAATCCGCTACCTCGACCTCCGGGGCGAGAAAGCCCCGTTCGTAAGCTGCTCCGGTGCCCCTGGTCTGCTGGAGACGGTCTCCAGCAGACCAGGGGCACCGGAGCAGCTTACGAACGGAGCTTTCTCGCCCTGGAGCTCGCAGGTAGCAATCCGCTACCTCGACCTCCGGGGCGAGAAAGCCCCGTTCGTAAGCTGCTCCGGTGCCCCTGGTCTGCTGGAGACGGTCTCCAGCAGACCAGGGGCACCGGAGCAGCTTACGAACGGAGCTTTCTCGCCCTGGAGCTCGCAGGTAGCAATCCGCTACCTCGACCTCCGGGGCGAGAAAGCCCCGTTCGTAAGTGCGGATCCGACATAAGTCGGATCCGCGTAAGTTGGGGACTGCCTGTATTACCTTAAACTTCTGGATAGGAAATGTTTAAAAGTTAAACTAATTCAACTATTTCATTAGTAAATATTAAAATATAATAATATTTTAAATTTATGAATGATAAACTTATATAATTATGAAAGGCTCATGAATCAGTAGAAAACAGATAAGTTCCATAGTACTTAAGCTTCCACTAATAATTCATCAAAATAATGCATAACTATATGACTACATGAACTCGACGAGACTGACTACTCCTAAACTCACTTGTGCACTCTCTCTTTAAAAAAAATGTTTTAACCCTTATTTCTGCAACTGATTTTGCTAGTTCAACAGGCTTTATTAAACTGATAAAGCCTATCCCCCCAAAAAAAAAAAGATAGTTGATGCATCTAAGTTGTTTGTATACAATTAAAATAATATAGTTGGCAATGTTGACCCAGAATATGTTTGCTCATAATATAAAAAATAGTTTTAGTCAGTTGGTAGAACTTTTGGCGGAAATCTAAGCTGCTCAATTTTTATAAACATTCCTTTGTGCCAACTGTTTCAATAGACCCTGAAAATGCTTTCTTAGTTGCTTAATATTCATCACGTGTGTACATAAATTTGAAAAGTAGCGTACTTACAGCAACATTGTATTCCCATATCATTCTCCAGAAATCTATTACTGTATTTGCTAATGGTCCCTGGGTAGCAACATATGCTTTTGGCCCATGTACTCCCTAAAATTGCAAAAGAAAAGATACATGGCTGAATGTTCACAATAGAAGTCTGGCTGTACTGGATAAAAAAAATCCTTATTTAATAATTTAAATGTAAATCTAGAATCTTCTCAGTGTCCTCTTTTCACCAACAGGTATTTTGTTCCTGGCAAAAATAGCCTCCATCACACTTAAACAGCTGACTTGAAGACACAGTCTTGGCCACACTGAAGACAATTGGAATTTTAAAAGGGTATGTATACATTGCCGCTGTGAGCATGCCTTCTAGCCTAAATAAATGGAGATGTGCTCACACCACACAAACTAACACACACAAATTAGTACAGTAGAAACTCTAGTATGGGCTAGGCACCCAGTAATAAGTCCACTAAAACTCCTTGTGTTTGAGCTCATGGAGAGCCAGAGCATATCCACCTAGCCAGGCTGGGTGAAATGCTACCAACAACAGTGCAGACTGAGGTGGGCAAACTTTTTGACCAGAGGGCCACATCTTGGTATGGAAATTGTTAGGAGGGCCAAGAATGCTCACAAAAATTGGGGTAGGAATGCAGGAGAGGTTAAGTGCTCCAGCTCTGGACGTGGGCTCCAGAATGAGGCCAGGGATGAGGAGTTCATATTGTACGAGGGTACTCCATGTTCAGACTGAAAGGTTTGGAGGGTGGAAGGGAGTTTTTGGCTAGGACAGGGGATTGGGGCACATGGAGAAGGAGATGAGGATTTTGGCTGGGGGTGTATGCTCTGGATGAGGGATCTGCTGTGCAGAAAGATACTCTGGACTGGGATGGAGGGGTTCAGAGGTCAGGAATGGGCTCAGGGCTCAGACAGAGGCTTGGAACAAGGCTCTGGGTAGGGGTGCAGACCCAGGGAGGCTGAGAATGAGGAGTCTGAAATACAGCAGAGTGTTCTGGGCTAGGATCAAAGGGTTCAAAGAGCAGGAACAGGATTGGGAGTTGGAACACTGGAGGTTTTGGGGGTGGCAGGCAGTAGGCAGCACTTACCTGAAGTGGCTCCTGGAAGCAATGGCTCAACTCCCTCCAGTTACCACAAAGAGATGGGGCTATAAGCTCTGCATACTGCTGATCCACCCACTAGCACTGCCACCAGTTTCTGGCCAGTGAAGCTGCAGACCTGGCGCTTGGGGTGGGGACAGGCTTCTGGGAGCCATCCAGGCAGCTGCACATATGGAGCAGGGCAAAGCAAGCCCCTGACCCTCCAGAGGGGCAAGCTCCCAACCACCAGGTGAGAGCTCAAGGACTGGATTACAAAGGTTCAACAGGATGTGACCTACGGGCCATAGTTTGTCCACCCTGGTGTAGATGGGTATCCACTGGCTTTAAAATGGACCAAGATTTCACTGTTGTATGTTTTTACAGTTTTATACCAGCACAAAAAAGTTAAGACAAAGGTGTTTTGTAATTTTTTTTTTTAAAAAAAAGAAAAGTTTATATGAAGTTCTAAATCTGCAATATTTTCCTTGTTTGAGTTTCTTTTTCTCATTTTTAACAAATTACTTCAGAGATCTAAATCTGAAACAATATTTCATATTAAACTTGGCCATCAAGACAAATTAGAAGAAAAACTGCAAACACTTACAAAAGAATGGTCACACTGGGCCAAATCAATAGCCCATTTAGCCCAATATTCTAACTTAGCAGATACTTCAGAGGCAATGGAAAAGAAAAGGGTAATTTTCAAGTGATCTATCATCCTCTGTGACCCAGTCCCAAAACCTGGCAGCAAGTTTTAGGGATGCCAATATCACAGAGTTACACATCTAAGCATCTTGGCCAGTAGCCATTGATGGGTCTATCTTCATGTACTTGTCTAATTCATTTTGTACTTGAGTTAAAATTTCATGAATATTACAAGTGTTTAAATTTCTTCTTTTAACTAGCGTATTTCAAAGGTCAATTTTTACAATGATTTAACAATTTTATTCAGAATATTTTTATTTAAACCAAAAGCAAATATTCTTAATGAACATAAAAATCTGGCTGAACTCTGAAATATTTATTAAAAATTTCTCAAATTAAATGTATGTCCAAGTAGTGAGACTTATATGACCTTTCTTTAAAACAAGTGTTACAGATCAAAAGCCTCTCCCCAGAAGAACAAGTGGATGAGAGGTTTTAGGAAAGTTTGAGAATTGTATCACTTCAAATCATAAAGGCAAAAGGCAAAGAGTAAAAGCATCCTACCATGACACTACTACTCAGAAAGTATGTTTATAGAAAGAATGATACAATGAAGGTAGTAAAATAATTCTCCCTGCCCCCAAACCACAATCAAATATTTGCTAGACGTTGGAAGCTCTGTATATTTACATAATAGTCTATATCTTACATCTCCAAGCAGCGAAGTCTCACCACTGCATGGAGATGCAGACACATGAATGTATTTGCTTAAATATTCTAATATACAAATTATGTATATACATCTTATTTTTTACCTTAAAATAGCCATTTTCCTGTGAGTAGTCTGTCTTGTGTTACTTAGAACTATACATCTCAGTAGAATGACAGACTTGTGATTCTCCTGCACTGAAGCTGTGATTTGGTAGTTCAAATGGAAGTATTTTTTAATAAAAAGTATTTTACTCATGTAATACATTAACTCTCTTAAAGCGCAGGAAATGCTCTATAGTAAGGTTTGAATTCTTATTTCATAATGTTTGTAAAATATTAATTAAAACTGCATTTCAATGAAATCAAAATTCTGAGAGTATTTAATGTAGTCAGATGTTAATACATACCTTAATAAAATTTGCATTGATATAGTCTGAATCTTGCGGGAGTGTTTTTAAAGTCAATTTAACCCGGCTGTGGTCAACTAAAAAAAAGATAGTTTTTTTAAGTGAAGAATTACAGCATGTGTTAAGATATATCAATTACAGAAATAATAATATTGCTTGATGGGGCAATTAAAATGTTTCTGAAGATGCATAATAGTTTCTAACAGGTATCAGTTAGTCAATGACATTAGCAATTTCGGAATAAGCTAATTTAAGTGGGAAAGAAAAGTAAGACCTAGAACTGTGCATTAATTTCCCAGTGGTGCTCCAAACAATTTACAAACATGGCTAATTATCAGGGACCTAAAATATATATATTGAAAACAATATAGTGTTAAAAGTAACATCTCCAATTTGTCAACATTTAAGCAAAAATGTAATGCAATATTAAACATAACAATATTATATCTATACAAGTTTTATATAGAGCTTTTCCTCAGTGGGTCTCAAAGTATCATTATCAAGTTTTACAGATGAGAAACTGAGAAAGATAGCAAAAGTGACTTGCCCAAGATCATTCAAGAGATCAGTTAATAAAACCCAGGTCTCCCCAATCCTGTCCAGTACTCTATTCTGAAAGTCACACTGACTCACGGGGAACTATTGTAGTCTGGGTTAATTTAAGGATATTTGTTATCAGAGTTAAGGGCAACTGCACTTGAGTTCCCCTCAATAGTCCACCGAAGGTACCACCTTCCCAGCTAATAAACCATCACTTCTTTTGGGAAGACACTCATGCCTCTCACCTGACTGGGATTTTTTTCTGCCTAATGATGTGATTCCCAGCAAGCCAGACTCTCTAAATAGGCCATCAATTTTGCTTTGCTTTTTCTTCAAAGGAAGAAGGACCGGGGAGAGGGAAGGGAGGAGGCTGCACGGCTTCCACCTCCCCGGAGCATCATGTGCTGCTGCAGCAGCAGCTTCCCCCAGGAAACGTGGGGTGGCCAAGGAGTCAGGCTCAGATGGTGGAGGGGACCCAGCAGCAGCAGCTCCTCCTCGGCGACGGAGACCCCCACTGCGTGAAGTGGGAGCTGTTGCCAGAGCAGCCCATGCCCAGAGGGGACGGCACCACAGCAGGTCATAGAAAGCGGCTGAGGACAGAGGCGGAGGCGGGTGTTGGTATGAGGACAAAGATGACATGTCACTCTGTCATCCCACAGGAAACAACAACAAATACATTTAAAAGGGAGAGCAACAGCCGGGTTAGCTCCTAGGCCAGGAGCTAACCCCGCTGCAGCTTGTCAATTGATTGATTAAACTAAATTTAACATCCCTACTTCATTCCACACTTTTTACTGCCATTCAATAGTCCCATTTTCATCCATCCATCCACCCATTCCTTTTCGTGTGCACATATGATAGCACCAGCAGGAAATACCAAGTTTTTAGGCAAGCTTTTTCTTTTAAAAAGCAGAAAGAGCTTTGATCCCTTTGCCAAAAACAATAAAATTACCACAAAATGGATTTTTCTTGGCCAATGCTTTTAATTAGGACTTATATAAGAATGTCACCTGCTTTACCACTGTCAAGTTATTATTCTTTATTTTTTCCAACAGTGGTTATCGTTCTGTGGCTCCGAAGATGGAATGTTATTTCTGTTTTGTCCATATCTCCTATCTATGGCAGCTCAAAGGCATACTCCTTGAAATTTGTCTATCTATATAAAAAATAATTTTCCTGCGGGACAACAGATACACACCAAATCACTCTGAATCCACAGGCTCTGCCCTCACACAGGATCCCTGCCCAGACACTATTAAGGGACAGCCAAGCCACCCTGCAAACCTCCCAAGGGTCCTGCCCACTCAGCTCTGCCTGTGGCCTTTCGGGCAGCCTGTGCCCCAGCCCAGGGGCTGCTTCAGCTGGTGAGAGGCCTGGGGCATGGCCCACTCTCAACGGAAACAGAGACAGGTCCCCATTCCCAAGGTGCCACGACTTGCTCCAGGGCCACACTGATGTAGTTCTTGGCGCTCTCAGGCTGCTGGGCCAGCAGGCTCAGAAGCGCTAGGCACAGGGCAAGGATCCCCACATCCCCATCCTCTGCTGCACCCCGAACCCAGCACCGAACCACCCGTGAGACCCAAGCCCAGCCTGCCTCTGAAGGCCAGGCTGGCTCCCTCCCACCCCATTGCAGCAGCAAGTAGGACTTCTGCAAGGCAGGTGAGGAGACAGCCGGCAGCACTGACCTGAACTGCCTGGGCCTCCTTTGCCTTGCACTGCATCCCTGCCCTCCCTCCTCCCCCATGCGGTTGCTGTGCGGGGGCGGGGGGAAGGGCAGGGGGTGAGAAAGCTCTGAGCCTCACTGTGCAGGGAAGATGCGCTTCCCTTCCGAGGCTGGAGTGCTTTCTCTGTGCTCCCATTGGCCAGAATCCAGCTAATGGGAACAGTGGGAGGCTGAACCTGGGATCGGCATGGGCCCAAAGACCCGTAAGTGCTCCCCACTCCCTCATGCCCAGAGCCACGCACCCCCAACACACTCACATACCTCCCTGCTGAGACCCTCGACTCCCCCAGCCCACTCCTGCCCCCTCACCGCTTGCGAGACACCCTACCCCGCATCTTCCTGCACCCTACCTCACATCCAGACCTCACACCCTCAGCCCTTTACCACTCACTGGCAGCCCTGTCCCACACACTGAATCCCTCCTTTTTGGCCCCACCCCAGAGCCCCGGGGGATAGGGGGGCCCACAAAATCCACTAACTCTGGAACCCAAAGAGAGTTGATCTGGCCTGAGGCCTTGAACCTCATTCCTTCCCCCCCCTCCTTCGGCATGGGGCTGGAGCACCAGGGGAGTGAGGTGTTTAAGTGGGGGGCCACATCAGTGAGGGTTGGGGGGTTTGGGAGGATTTTTTTTTTTTTTTTGCTTCTCACCAATGTGGTCCCCAACTGATTTTTCTGTGGGCCAGCAGCCCCTGACTCAAAAAATGTTTGCCACCCCTGCCATAAACAAAGACAATGCTGAAACCTTTTTGTGTTGGACATAATATTTTACTTTATTTAAAATGAAGCCTGGCTAACAAGGCCCCAATTGGGGTTAAGCCTCCATCCATCCCTCACAGAGCTTTGGTGACCAGATGGGGGTGCCCCATAAGCACCCTCCTGCTGCAGCATGGGTAGGAGAGGCCATAATCCAGCTGCAGTGGACAGAGGGGGTTGGCGAGCATAGCAAGCAGGGGCACAGCACCCTAGTGTTTTATGTCTTTGGAAAGATGAAATTTTATCCTTCCAGATCTCTTGGCAGCTTTTGTGCTATCTTTGTTTGCTGATGAAGTCAGAGACCACAGTGGTTTGTGAAGCGAGTACACCAACCCACTGATGCGACAAACATTGATGGCTTCACTGACCTGTATGTGTCGTTCTTTTACATTTGTGGAGCATGCAGACAAGTTCTAGTGACAAGGCAGCTATTCTGTCAACATTCAACAACCCAATCACAGATCTTTCTCCAGCCCAGGAAATGAAGCACACCTTGTTTGACATTTTTTTCTTGCTTCTTGGCATGCATTTTAGTGATTTTTTTGTTGCCATTCTCTTACGTGCTTCTCATTGATAAAGAATTCATGAGAAAAAGCAAAATTGTTTGCTTCTGCATAGTCAACAACTTTAAGTTTGAATGCAGCATCACAAACAGTTTTCTTCTGATTTCACAGTTATTAATTTTAAAACCTTAGAAAAGAATTTAGTTACAGATTTTGTAGGACTTTATATGGGACTGCTTTACCACTGTCAAATTATCATCATTCTTTGTTTATTTCAAAGCAACCCCATTGATTGGCACCCTGTGGCCATAACAGGTTACAGGCAGTCCCCGGGTTACGTACAAGATAGGGACTGTAGGTTTGTTCTTAAGTTGAATTTGTATGTAAGTCGGAACTAGTACATATTGTAGGGGAAACTCTAGCCAAACATTTCTCCAGAGCTCAGTTTTATTCTCCCACACCTCACTTCCCTCAGTCCTTTATTCTCAAGCTGAGGTGTCTGCTGAGAAAAGCCGCTCTGCGTCTCCCTGGTCTGCTGGGGGAGGGGGGGGGGGGGAGCGCTAGCTTCGCGTCTCCCTGGTCTACTGGGGGGAAGCAGCTAGTGCGGGGTTGCCTCACCCTGTTTGTAAGTAGGGATCCGATGTAAGTCGGATCCATGTAACCCGGGGACTGCCTGTATTTAAATTGTATTACAGATTCCATTGATTCTATGTGTTATATTTTCAGATTGGTATGAGACTTATGATGTCCAGTGGTCAAAATGTGTGGAAGAGATTAAACAACACAGTAGCACAGTGACACCAGTGCCATAGTACTATCATTCCTTGTATTTTTCTGATTGGCTTGCAGGATCTAGCATTTCCTGAAATGCACTGGTCAAATATAATGCAGCTCTGCAGCACCATTCTTTTAGTATTCATTTCAAGTCAATCTAGTGCACTAAAAAAAGCCTTTGCAACTTTAATGAGTTGCAGTATTGATGTCAATGAATCATTTTAAGAACAATACAAATACAACACACTATAAAAACCATCAGGAATGCTACAATCCATTTAGAAATTGCTAAACATGAGCCTTTCAACCAGAAGCACCACTAGTAAACTAGATGCTAAGTGAAATACCAAAGCAGCACAAAATATATCAGCAACAGAATTTTCACATTTTAAAGCAAAATTCAGCCAAGATAAAAAAATGGCAATAAGAAATAAAGGGCAACAATGGAAACCTTTTCATTAATACTATAAATCCCTGGTTTACACCTAAAACAATTTTTCAGCTTGTCTTGCCTTTTAGATTTAGTAGGCACCTACTCAGATGCCTTTATTTAGACAGTTCTGTATTTACTGTATTAACCATAAGGAACTGAACCTCTGGTATAAAAGTATGCAACTCCCTCTCAGATCTTTGGTGACCAGACAGTGTTGTGACTGAATAATTGTGCTAAATTAATATAATAGCTAGGTACTTTATTTAAAAAAATCTGGTTACAGAATTCTTTAAAGCACTCATTCAGCTCTGTTTAGGGACTGAACACATGCAGATATTGCTCTCTAAGAA